ACTGAGACGGACGTGCTGTCGGACGTCATGCTTCTCTGCTACTCTCTTCCAATATTCCAGAATTTCGGGGGCACTGGCGTAGAATTGGCTCCAACCTGTCCATGATTCGTAGCTCAGCTGGTAAGCGTGGGAGGGAATATCTGACACGAGGAAGTGAATATCAGTGAGAATGTACTATGAAATCTTAGTCTGGTGATATTGAACGTACCACAGGCGCAGCCGGGATATCTATTCAATATCAGTATCAAGCTACTCCACAGTTGACGATGCATTGCCTCGTTGCGTTCTTCAGTTCTTACTTTGCCAAGGGGCTTACCTGTTTTCATACCATGTTCCACCAATTTCGGGATTTTTTTCGTAGATGACCAAGTCTAGCGAAGGCACAAGTTTGCGGAATTCGATCGCAGCTAGAATTCCTGAGACTCCCGCTCCGATGTAGATGACTTTCAGCGGCCTAGCCTCGTCAATTGGCTTGTCCGTAATGAGGCTGGCCTTTGGCTTTTGAACATTGCGTCCGTGGTGTCTGTCGGGCAGCGATCCCATTTCCTTCTTTTTTTCTTTTCTGAATTCACGAGCTTAGATCCGTAAAACACGTAAGAAGGATATCTGAAGTAATTTCAATGGCATTTGCTAGAGCATTATATACCTTCTGATTTGCCTCACGTTCTAGAGCTTTCATTACCACTTTTTGATCATATGCTCATAGGCGGAGAATTCGGATTCGGAACGCGGAACCGTTGATGTCCTAAATACGGAAGGGAGATCCGTATGTTTTGCGCAAGAACCATTTTCCCGAGAGCAACTAGCTGGTCGCGTGATCTGAATATATGGTGGCCATAACACCGAAGTGTTCCTTTAGGCAGATTGGCTATTGGAGTCACTGCAAGATCGCCACATGTTATGTTATTCACTTAATACCCGGTAAAGTTAGAGCTGTGTAATGTCATGAAGTATGTCAGTGACACAGTGCTTAAGGCTTTTCAACTATTATAGATAGTGAGCCACAAAACACGAGTCCTCACGGAGAAGAACGGTCCAGTCAATTTCAAACATCTCCCCACGACATCCGGGGTCCTATCAGCAAACCTGAGAACACGCTAAGCCCACCTTGGATCTGCTGCTGTCTTCGATATGAGGGCGGTCTAAAACTGGCAGAGAAAACTAGATCACATGTGAGGAGGTGGTGCGACGATCCAAGAAACGGATCTGCCAACATTACTCGAAGAGGTGTCGGCAACACACAATCATGGCTTGATTTTCTACCGCCCGATCACGCTTCTTCGCGAAGATGGCAAGCGCTTAGCGTGCTGCTTCCGCTCTCGAACGAATCCTTGACACATCGAATGCTAGAAAACCTGAGGAGCACATTGACCGAGTTTGCCTTGTCGTTTGTGCCACTGGACCTCGCTCCACCAAACGGCTGCGCACCAATGACTGCTCCCGTGCACTTGTCGTTGATGCAAAACATGCCCACTGAATCTCTCAGCCTCTTGTTGGCGATCTGCACAGCTTCCCTGTCGCGCGAAAAGACAGAGCCTGCCAAACCATAATCGGTCGTGGTGTCAATCAGGTCGCAGATGTCTTCGAAACCGGTAGGCGAAGCATCGTCATACGTCTGCACGGCAAAAAGGGGTCCGAAAAGTTCCTTTGTCATAAGTTCGCTCTCTGAGCTCTTTTCGGTTTGGTTGACCTCGAAGATGACAGGCTCGACGAAGAATCCCTTTCGGCCGTCTTGCTTCCCGCCAAAGATAAGCTTGTGGCCTTCCCTTTGGGCACGAGCAACAAAGTCGCCGAACCGCTCATACGACGCCTGCGACACAAGCGGGCCGAGTCGATGGTAGATCTGCTTGACATCGTCTCCATACGTCATCTTGGCCGCCTCTCTCAGCAGTGCCTTCTTCAGATCGCCCTGCTCCCACATGGACTTTGGCACGAAGAAGCGAGACAAGGCACTGCACTTTTGTCCTTGGAACTCATAAGCTGAACGTACTGCGGCCGACGCAATCCAATCGACGTCGTCCTCGCAGGAGTTGTGGACGAGGTGGAAGTTCTTGCCGCCACTCTCACCTACCACACGTGGGAAAGTCTTGTAAATATCTGAGTTCGCGCCAATCTGAGCCCACAGACTTCTCAGCACAGCTGAAGAACCGGTGTAGTGCAGACCGGAGAAATGAGGGCTGGCAAGGGCGGGCTCGACAACGAGGGTCGGATCCGCTACGGGCAGGAATTGGATGACGCCTTTCGGCACACCAGCTTCTTCCATGACTTGATACAGGATGTAGTTAGACAGGACGGCCATGGGTGACGGTTTCCACAGCACCACGTTTCCTAGAATGGCCGGTGTGAATGCGATATGTGCCCCCAAAGCCGTAAAATTAAAAGGCGAAATAGCGAGTAGGAAACCTTCCAAGGGTCGGTAATCGAGAGTGTTGTATGCTGAGTCGGATTGTTTAGGTGGTTGTTGCTGGTACAGCTGGTGACAGAAGTAGACGTGGAAGTTGAGCGTGTCGATGACTTCGGTGATGCAGTCGCCTTCGGCTTGTCCGAACGTCTTACCTTGTCCGATCATTGTTGCCGCCATCAGCTTCCACCTGTACTTTGTCTCTACGAGCTTTGCTGCTCGCTTGTAAACCGCTGCCCGCTGGCTGAATGGCATGTTGGCCCATTTCTTCCTCGCTTCGAGAGCACCAGGGATGGCTCTCTTCTCGACAGTTTCCTTATCGACTTCGTGATACTCTGCCAGCGGAGCTCCATTTCGGTTCCAAGGATTGACTTGAGCGCTCTTGCGGCCAGTATAGACTCGTTCGCCGTTAATGATGCTGGGGATCTCGGCGGTACTCTTCTCCATCTCGGCCAGAGCGGCCTTCAGGAGCTTCTTCTCTTCAGACCCCGGGAGGTATAAGAGCTGCAGAATGAGTCTGGTTAGTTACACGTGCTTATGGAGAATTGTAACGACGAAAGCAGTCGCTCACCCCAACAGCGTTAGCTGGCGCTGGGTATCGGAAGGCCATTGTTTGCATGTGTGTGAGTGCTAAGAAATAGTAAAGGAAGAAGATAAGAATAAGAGGAGCAACTTGACAGCACTATCGCTAAGAGGAAGAGAGAGGGTAATTTTCAAAGACGTTTAGAACATCTATAGCTAGACGAGAACCGCTACTATCTGTCACTCGCCTCGGGCCGTAGCTCGGAAGAAAGACCTTGTCTCATTCTCATACTATAATAACGTGAGTAACATCTTACGTAAGAACTAATTCTCTCTTTAATATTAACTCTTTTTGAACTAAAAAGAGCTACTATAGAATATCTATCTATACAAGTAGGATAATATAATTAAAGGCTAGTAAGATAGATAATAAAATACAATTAGCTTATAGTAATTATATATATTAACTTAAAGTTAGATACTTAGACTACATTATAATTATACTAGCCTAGAGGTAGCTCTAGTGATACTAGCTATTTAATAAAAAAGCTTAATTAATTAAAAGATAATATAATATATATATTTTACTTTAAAGTCTATTTAGAGCTATAAGAGAAGTTTCCTGTACTAGTTATTAAATAAATAATATAACTATACTTAATCTAAGTCTTTTTAAGTTTTAGATATTGAATAAAGGATCTAATATAAAGTGTTTCTTATTATAAACTAGAATTAATATCTTATAGAATATCTTTACAAAGCAATGTACTCTATAGACTATATAGTACGTAATTAAGTATAGTGTTTTTATATTCTATCTAATATTTCTAAACTATTGCTGTATTACATCCTTCTTCTAGTTTCATGCAAATAGGCGTGTGGAGCAAAGATTTACATAGAACAAGAAACATAACGAAGATCGTAATTATATTGGACAAAGAGACACATCTAAAAATTGAAGGGTAAAAGGCGTCTGCGAATCTCACGACCCAAGCGAACCCTCTCCGCAACAGCTCCACCTCTCCCTTCGAGAACAACTTTGTTCTCAGTGGCTCGTCTGGCTAAGAAAGGCATACACTCCTTCAGGTCGCCGTAGCTCATTGACTATAGATGGTAGAAGGAATCAGTACTGATTGCGAAACGACAGTGGGAGCGAGCAACAACTGTACTCACCTTAACGACAAGCGGGAATCCGCCCTCGGTAGCGACCGATCCAGTAATTTTGTTTGTGAGGTCATCTTTCATTCCTGGAGGAAAATGGATAAGATATATAGGCAAAATCGACTAAGTAGCGAGCTACTTACCATACAGCTGCGCAAAGGCAATGCTCCCCGCAGCCTCCTTCGAGACTAAAAGCCTGCTATCGTCGCTCTTGCGCTCCGCCAATCCATGCTTCTTTAGCAATTGAATACCCTTGTCAATGCTGATGGAGTTGTGAGTAGCAAACACGGCGCTAAGTCTCGAATGACCCGTCTGTCTCACCTGATCAGCGACTGTGGAGAGCGTCTTCTCGATTCCATAGTTAAAGCTGGCATCCGTCTCTGCCTTGGTTGACCAAACTGGACCCTCTCCTTTCTTGCCTTCCTTTTTCCACCTTGCAGCCTCTGTCACCATGTATGCTCCCCTGACTTGCTTGAAGAGCAATTTATAGCCCTTCTCATCGGCGCGACGGATCTGCTGGTCGAGAAGCTGCGGATGCCTGCGGAGGTAGGCTTGAAAAGAGGCAATGCACGTGGCGGGTCCATCTAGCGAGTTGTACTTTTGCATCAGCTCGTCAGTCAGACTGTCAATGACTGGCTGGTACCACGACTGTTCGGCGTCAATGACGATGCGCACGTTGTTGTCTCGCGCCTTGCTAGCGATAGCTTCCATGGTGGCTCTGAGGCTGATCAGCTGATCACGATCCGAATTCGTGACGCCTTCTCCATTCAACGCCGCCTCCCAGTCGCCATCCTGAGGCAAGCCAGGGTATGGCACGTCCTTGTTGAGTCCCCTTGCTTCTCTCGCCTTCATAATTGCATTCGAGCCGTGGTAGAGGGCGATAGGATGGGGCAGCAGACCCGTCACCTTGATTCTGACCCAACACCGATTGTCGCCGCCGGTAGCGCTGGTGTCTGGCCAGTACTGCTTTGCCAACTTTCCTTGCGCGTCAATCGAAGCCAAAACATGCCTTGTCTGCTCGAGGATCAACTGAGGGTCCTTGCTCGAACCGTCCAGTTCGGCTTCGATGTTGTAGCCAAGAAGAGTGCCGATCTGGTGCTTCCGCAGTTTTTCGATCTTAGGAATACACTCCTCAGTAGTCTCTCCGCCTAGGAACTGGTTGAAGAAGGTACGCGTGACAAAGGCATGTGTTATGGAAGAGAGAACGGGGATCTTTGTAAGGACTTGGTAGAAGGACTCGCTCATGTCAACCCATCTTGGCGATGAGCAGAATGCGAAGGTGCTGTGCATCTTCTGTTAGTCAAGCACGATCCGTGAGTGGTTTTTCTGAATGGCACGCTCACATCCAGCCCGAACAAAGCTTGCCAAAAGGGACCGTTGAGAGCTCCTTCACGTCTCGTGGATCGTCAGGATACTGGCTTCCATTTCGTCTTGCCAGTAGCAACCCAATGGTGATTACACCAGTGCCGCCTACAGCATAGACGATCTTCTTGTCTTTGGATGAGGTGTTTTCCCGCCACTCTATTGGGCGCGCAGGCCGGGGGATCTGACCTGTGGACGTCGATGTCCATTTAACTGTGTGGCGAGGAAGACCGATTAGGCGGCGCCGGGTCGCGTGATAGATGTGTTGCCCCGTTGGAGAAAACATGTTGAATGGGAAAGCTGTGAGAATGACAGGAAAGATGATCGCGGGAAGACATGGAAGAGATCAGGGTCGGTACATATCAGATAAACGATTTGCCCTGACAAGAATTGGATCTGTTCTGCTCTATTATGATCTCGGCCCGGCAGGCTTTACGAGTACTTAGAGGCTGGACACGACCATAATCCTTCATCGAAGTAAACTAGTAAACCCACATGAGAACCGCAACTATGAAAGCTGTCCGCCCCGACCGCGCACCCCGCTCGATTGGCCCTTACGTCCATGCCATTGCCCATGGCGACTTTGTCTTCACCACCGCCTGCATCCCACTGAACCCAGCCACGATGAAGATTATCTAGGGCAGTCCGAAGATCAGCTCCGTCGCATCTTTGGAAACCTCAAAATTATGCTCGAGGAGTCTAGCACCACGCTGAATCGCATCATCAAGCAAAACGTCTATCTAACCAACATTGACCACTTCGGGTTAATAATATATCGTATTGGGTTCAGGGTTCCCTACAAGTCTGGCGAGGAGACTGATGAGACTCTAAACATCTCTCGGGCCGGCGAAGGGCATGTCGCTGATAGCCACCTACGATGCTTCCATGAACGAAGTACATAGACCCTTCCACAAACGGGATGCCAGAAATGAGAAAGATGAACCTCGGCCCGACCTATCTTGGGTATACACTATCATGACAAGGTGTACGCATCATACTTCCTCCATCGGATAGGTCTTCCGAACGCGTCACAGATTGGCGCCCCGCAGAAGATTGATGGAGGCTTACTGCTGGTTTCAAAATGTGCGGCCGTTTGGATGAACTTCATCCCACCCCTCCCCCCCCTCGATTGTCAAAGACCAAAACTACGTTTACATAACGATTTAACGCTTAGAATATAATTAAATGCTATTAAAAGATGTGGCACAGCTGTAGCTATCTAATAGTTAATAGATTATTAGCTGCATAGCGCTACTACTCTTCTTAGTCTTAGAAATATGTGATTTCGTGATGCACTTGATTTTCTTTAGAAGCCTACACGCACCACTACCGCCCGCGTACGCATTTTTAAGAAAATTAAGTGTACTATAGAACTACGTATTTTGGTAGATTATTAAATGTCTATTATGATAGCTACAGCTAAGCCGCATCTTTTAAGAGTATATTATTATATCTTTAGCATTGAATCGCTGTGTAGACGTCTTTGATAATCGAGGGAGGAGGGGTGGATGAAGTTCATCTAAACGGCCGCTCATTTTGAAACCAGTAATATCATCGGTGTTGAAAATCTCTGTCGCAGCTTTTGCGCCTGCAGGACACCTTTGGAAAGTAAAGTAGCATCGTCTCAGGAACGGGCATCATGTCGCTCACCCCGGTGCTTGTTCCCGTCTGTGCCAATGCCTGCGCCGCATATGTGTGAGCGCCGGCTGTCGTTCCGTTGGTGTTCTTCTCTTCGAAACATGTCCAAGAGAGCATCTCAGAGATGGTCGAGTTGCGAAACAAAACGCCAATGTAATAGGGTTACTCGCTAACTATAGTACAGACCACCAGTTTTTGCTTCTTAGCCTAGGTTATAGCCGGATGTCCTCACAACTACTGTCTATCAACAATACGAACTCGTCGTTTCAGCCGTAATCGAACTAGCGTCAACCATGTCCTCATAGCTCCAGTAATCCTTCAATACTCCCTCGCCGTCAACCATTGAACGTGTTGTGAACCTCCAACTCCAGAAGGCGTGCCCTTGCATGTGCGTCGTAGAAACATAACGCCAGGTGTCGAACAACGTCTTACGGCCCGCAAACGTGTTGTTCCACGTGCTAAGGACGGAGTACTCGCCGATGAAGACTGGGAATCGGCCGTCGCCTACCGCGGCAGGTACCTGCTTACAAATGGCGTCGGGCACATTGAAGGCTGTAGCATTTGGAGGGGCGAAGAAGTAGATCTATATACCTTAGTCAGCTATCATGATTCGCACACCACAAAGGAACTGCTCCTGAGGCATGATGCTGTTAATTAGCCTCAAAAGCCTTTCACTGACGTTTTCGAAACGTGAATGGGGCAACTTACGTGAGTGTCGATAACGATATTGGCATCATTGGGAAAGTGGGGACCCCAGAATGACTCGCCTTGGAAGGTATCTTGAATCATAAGAGGTATGCGCTGGAGACAATGTTAGCTCTAGTATTATGCATGAGCTAGTATGGCGGCATTAGTAGAATGCACGTAAGACATACTTTATCGACTCGTGCAACTCTCTCCAGACAGCCATTGAAATACTTTTGCAGCCATTCAATTCCTATTAGTTGGTCAGCGTTTCAGCTGGCGTAATCAAAGAAGGTAGCCTACCGCTTGGAGTCATGCCGGCAGCGCTGGCAAATTCAGTGGGCTCGCTGGCAGGCTCATTGATGGGGGAGAGGGTGAAGGATGACAGACGGCCTGTCTCTTGCGTCCAGGCCAGCATTGCGTCAAATGCCCTGTAGGACCAGTCCAGATATATCTGATTTCCATACCACGCATTGTGGCCAAAGGCTTCCCCAGTTTCACGATTATTGATTCCTCCAGGCAAATTGTGAAGACTGAGAATGATATGCATGCCGTATCGTTCGATAGCGTAGGTTGTTATGGCTTTCAGATAATGCTTTTGAGCGCCGTGATCCAGTTGGGATCCTGGAACCTCAACCCATACTGAGTACGATACCGGAATTCTGAGGACATTGATGTTGACCGAAGCCATTTTGTCAATGTCAGCAGTCGTGATCCAAGTGGCATAGCGTTTCTGTAGCTCTGGGCCACATCGTGCGCCTAGTGTCTGACAAAGTGTCCATTCATCGCTGGCATTGGGCGCCAGGCTGTTCCACCAATCCTGGTCAATGGGCCACTCCTGGAGGAACCAACCACCTAGATTTACGCCGTTTGCCTTGAATTTACGCCAGTCGACCCACTCCTTTGTTCTCGGGTAGTAAAGGTCATGGCTGTACCGCTCAGCGGAAGGCTGGAATGATCGCGATAAGGTGATATTGTCTCGGGAACTCCAGATCGAACCGGGAACAAAGGGTAGGTTTTGACACAAGGTGGCATATGCCATCCCGCCAGAAACAAGCGCTAATGAAGCGAGAATTGAACTGTGCATTATGATGGTATGTGACGACAGTATAGGGTAGAATATGGAAGAACGATGCATATACTGCGGTTTGCTTGGACTGAAGTATGGAAGTGCTCTACTTGCCTTGCGAGAGCATATATACCTATGTAACAACAGGGACTTTGCAATTCCTCCTCCTTGGGCTCTCGTGCTCCCGGACGTCTTTCTCTCGAGCCGAGATGCCAAGTAGTCTAGAGAAGGCGGGGAGACGTGTAAACTTTGAATCCGTTTCTCGTCCATGCGGTAAGTAGATCATGATACCAGCGGCAAAGTCGAAATTTGATTCGATCGAACCCCATGGGGAAATCGCAAATCCATGCATACAAGTGGCCACGAGAAAGGCTCATGCGGGTGGCTTGCAGAGATATCCGAAAGTATTAAGGAGAAACTCCCGCTCAGCAGTGACTGTCTGATAGTGTGCTAGGGGGTCTAAAGCGGGGAAACATAAAGCGTTTGCGTCATCACGGGGGAATACAAAGCGAGTTACGACAATCGAGTTGGCGCAGATTAGATAGACAAGTAATCCGGGACGTGTATCGGCATGTATAACGGCTTTATGTCGCCCGAGCACGGGGCAACTTGATTCTCTGAGTGACAAGCATGTTGACTAGCAGAATGAGTGCTGGAACCGTATTCGGGCCTTGTGATATTGTTCGTTCCGAAATGTAAAACACACGGTTCAAGAGACTACTTTGATTTACGAGCACTGCCTTGCCGCTAATCAAAATCATTACTTGAAGCCGTGCCTGTCCGTGTCCTAATAGGAGCCTTACTCACGACGAGAAGCCTCCAATTAGCTCTCTGGAACTACTATGAGGCGGGGTGAAGAAACAGTGAACGCACATCTTGGAACGAATGATACACTTTTGCCGCAAAAGTTCCCGGCACCTGCGGGGTTGCCCACATTAACACTAGGAGACCACTACTACTTGCAGTATGGATATCTCTACGACTAGGTGCTGCACGCCTTTAAGATTTTGCATAAAGCTTTTGAATAGTATATAGATAGATATTTGATTAGAATAGAATTATAGTGGAAACTTAAGGGTATTATATCACTTGCATTCCTCTACGGACTACTTCTTAACACTTAACCTATTCCTAGCGAGACACCCACGAAAACGAATAATAAAAGCTATATACAAGCACAGCTAAGAAGGTTCTCAGATAGTTAGACTTTCTTTGCAGAAGTATTAATACTTCCCGCAGAGAAGGATATCCTCTCAATTGCAGCGCTCGCGGCAGCAGAGTCCTGCAGAGCATGAGGAACAAGCTGGTCGCCAAATAATTCATCCATCTGCTCCAGCGTCTTGCCCTTAGTCTCTGGATAGAATAAGATATAACATACTAAAGCGATCACATTGAAGACAAAGAAAACGTAGAAATAGCGAAACCCGATATTCGACAGCGCTCCAGGAGAAAATTGAGCAAATACGAGATTGAAGGTCCAATTCGTGAACGTAGTAATAGCATTTCCTTGATTCCGGATTTCCACTGGAAAGATCTCCGCCGGATAAACCCAAGAGATGATACCCAAGGGCGTGTAAAACAGGCTGAAGACGAAGTTCATTGCAACCATAGCGCGAAGCAGGTTGTTATTGTTCGGGTCGAAGTGTTGAGATAGGGCAGCGTTGACAACAAGCGCTGCTCCGAGGCCGGCCGCGGAGACGATGAGTGGCTTGACCCGACCGACTCGGTCAAGGAGCCATAGGCCAATGGTGCAATAGACGATCGAGAGAGCACCGCTGATGCCGATGATCATCAACGCTGTTTGGTTGCCGATACCCAGAGACTTGTATATCTGAGGACCGAAGTAGTTGATGACGTTGATACCGGACAGAGGGCCGAAGGCCTGTACACCACAGCCGAGCAAGAGCCGACGGCGCCAAGAGGCCCTCTTGACGATAGAAAACCATGAAATCTTGATGAGGGCGCGATCTGCCATGATCACGTCACGGATTTCACGGAATTCGAGCTCGATTGCCTCTTCGTTTGTGCCAGAACGCAGCTTACGGAGCGCTCGCATCGCATCGTCATGCCGATCCTTTTCCATTAGCCAGCGGGGGGACTCTTGAAGAAACCATATGCCAACAAGGAGGATCAGGCTCGGGAAGCATTGAAACGCGAGAGGGAACCGCCCTATCCGACGTGAGTGGGTCAGAACAGTTGTCTGACAGTTGCTAGAATAGATCTTACATTGAAAAGAACCCTTGGTGAACGAACACCCATACCCCAGCCATTGCGCCACAAGGAATCCCCAACTGAGCATCCATTGCAACAGACCAGACATGATTCCACGGTAGCTTGCTTCAGAAAGCTCAGAGGCATACATCGGAATTGTAGCAGTGAGCATCCCCACCGCTATCCCGGCGATGAAACGGCCGACGATGAGCATGGCCATATTTGCTGCGCCACCTTGAAGAGCGCACCCAAACGTGGCAACACATGAACCAGCGAATATGGTCATCTTTCGACCGAGTCGGTCGCCAAAGAACATGTTGACTACAGTACCGAGGGTGGCACCCCCTTGGAAGGCCGAAACAATTCCTCCGACCACGGTGTCGTTTGGTTTTGAGAAGTACTCGACGAAGTGCTCCTGCGCGATGCTGGAGGTGATTATGCCGCTGTCGTATCCGAAGAGAAACCCTGTGCGGGCGAATCAGACCTCTCCTGCGACAGGAATGCGCGGTGTCTGCTTACCTCCAATGGCCAAGAAGATGGCTGAGAGGAACGTTGTCGCTTTTCCCATGATGAAGACTGGCTAAGTTGGTAATGCGAAGAAGGGTCTCGGCTTGTTGCTCCCTGACTCGGAGCTGGAGCTTTCGCTGAAGATATTGAAGGTTCAAGGCGAGGTGGAAGGCGATGCGAGAAGCTGCTTGTTGGATGAAAGATCTCACAGATCAGGCAGCTGAGATCAATATATAGACTTTGAGGATAGTCAACAAATTCATCGCTGTGGGATATTCTGTACTGCACCACTCGCTCCTTCATGTCTCATGTTCGGGGTCGATAACGCCGATGCCACAGTATCTGTCTAATATCAGATCGACAATGCCGACCGTCTGGCAGGGCGTCCTGATAAATCGGATCACGTTAGAGCACCTTTGAACCCTAGCAGTTGGTCGGCGTTGTCGATCTGCTATTGGGCAGATACTGTGGCATCGACTTTCTCGACCTGCTATTGAATGATGGCGTAGTGCGGAGTAACGACAAAGCGATGAGGCGTGGTGAACTCCCCCGCGAAACAGGGTTTCAATGCGCGTTATCTCGTGCCGACATAGGCCAGAAACATCTTTGTCGGAACCGCTCTAGGCTCGAACAGGAGCGTCCGAATTACTCGGAGGGAGCGTCCGTTTGCTCGGAAGGAGCGTCCGTTTACTCGGAAGGAGGCCATAAGCACAATGAATCGCAAAAAATGATACACCAACCCCACCCCGCGTTCGCTGCATTAACCGTACCGACCTTTCGCCATCGGCTAGAAGGTAGCGAGAGTGGCACACCATCCTCTTTGGCACAATTGCGGTAGGAGAGAAGCTGGCATAGATGCGGGTGAAGAGGGAGCGAATATCTACGCCTCGAACGTCTACTCATATCTGGGTGGAGAGTGCAGAGAGGCAGCAGACAACAGTGATCGTAACTTCTTCGCATCTTCTTTGCAGTCATGCAGATCTCACGTTGCGGGATTCACGGGTTCCATGAAGTCCTTGGAATCGACGTGGATGAAATCCGCTTTTTCTGGACACTTGAAAGTGACGACGAGTACGCAACCCAGGATGCATACCGCGTAGTCCTCTCTACCGATCCAAAAGCCGTAGAGGCTGGAGCGCCAGCCACCGCTGATATCGCTTTCGATTCCGGCAAGGTTCAGAGTGAAGCCCAAAGAAACATACGATGCCGGCCAGATGGAGGGTTTCGATCAACATGCACTTATTTCTGGAAGGTCACCGTCTGGAGCCACCGCGAGGTAGCCTACTCTAGTGCTATCAACCACTTTTTCACCGCCTATCCAAAGTCGCATCTGCTTCCACCGTGGAGTATGAACCAAACATACATGCCGCACAGTAGCTTGATATTCCGCTCTTGGTTTGAAGACGAGGCCAACAGGTGGAAAGCAGTCTGGATAGGGAACGGAGGAGACAAACCACTGTATCTTCGTAAAGCCTTCTTACTCCACAGGCAGCCTACTAAGGCGATTGCGTTCGCCTCCGGTCTTGGCCACTACAACCTCAGGGTCAACGGTCAACTGGCGTCGGACCATGTTCTGGACCCTGGATGGACAAATTACCATCGCACGGTGCAGTTCGTTGCACACGATCTGACCAGCCATCTACAGCCCGGCGAGAACGTGCTGGCCGCGCATCTGGGAAACGGTTTCTACGCCGGCGACAAAGGTGACCGCTTCTTCTGGCCAATGTACGAGGATAACACGTACGTGAGATACGGCAACGAGCTGTGTTTCTTCGCGGAGTTGCATCTATTCTACGATGATGGGACGCATACAGTGCTGGTGTCAGACCCGGAGTGGCAGGTGAGGGAAAGTGCAACTACCCTCGCAAACATTTACGCATCCGAGACTTACGACAGGCGCCTCTATCCGGTGGGGTGGGATGCTCCAGGCTTCGACGATGGTGGCTGGTCATCGGCAAAGGCGCTTACCGGTCCCAGAGGCCAATTACGATATCAGAGCCAGCCGCCGGTTGTACTTCATGAAACCTTTC